GGAATGTAGCAGGTGCATTAGTTAGACCAAACGGCATACGGGTCCACTCGTACAGTCCCAGTGGAGAAATAAATGCAGTTTTATGTTGATCGTTGGGGTGCATGGCCACTTGGTGGTAGCCACTGGCCAAATCCAAGGTAGAAAAAAATCTTGCTCCCCCCAACGCATCAAGACATTCATCAATACGAGGCAAGGGGAATGCATCCCTTCTTGTGATATTGTTCAATTTCCGGTAATCACAACACAGTCTTATCTCCCCTGACTTCTTTTTTACCACTACAATCGGTGCCGCATACGGGCTTGTACTAGTTGTAATAATTCCCTTTTCTAGTAGATCATTCAGGTGTGCCTTCACCGCCGAGTAGTGACTCGGTGGTAATCTTCGATAAGGTTGCGCCACCGGCTTGTCTTGTAGTAAGGGTATCTGGTGTTTGATTACTTCCGTGTACCCCAAATCACCCTCATACGAGGCAAATACATCCCTGTATTTATTCAGTAATTCATTTAATTTTGGGTCTTCAGTTTCCGGGAATATATATGATCGGCCACCCTTTTTCTTCACCTCGGCCGTCACATTGACCGACCTAATTGTTACTTCATTACTACTGGTATTGATCAGTTCGATGCACTGTGCCGACCTTTGTACCTCGACGTTCTGTGGTACTCCTACCAGAGTGTTAGGCGGTATAAAAATTTCCTCATCCAAAACATTAGCTACCAACCCTTGAACTAGTCCGTTTTCCGCTGATGTGTATGTCCGCAGTAACACGACGCCTGCCCTCAGTGCGGCGCCACATGGTTCTACCATCACATCACCATTCACGCTTCTATCACCAATTTGTAATGTGATTGCCTTGACCGTGTTTGCCGGGACTGCTGTCCTTCCTCTGGTCTTGGCAAACCTGGCCAACTTGGATCCCCGACCTGGTGTGGTCGATCCGACAATATTTGTAAGAAATTCTGGCAACTGGCCAAGAATATTCATGCCCAACAGGCAAGGTATATTTGACACATTTGTCTCTAGGTTGTGTTTCGTAACGAACACCCCAACCTGCTTCAACCTATGTCCTGCCACCACGACATCCGCCAGAAAATAACCACAGTATGGAATGGTTAGTCCATTAGCTGCCGTTAGGCGCATGCCTGTGTCAGACCTCAACCTATGGTCTTTTCCTTTCATCCATTTGGTGTAAAAATTTTCCGTAATTGTCGTCACCTGGGAGCCTGTATCCACAATTGCCTTCACCGCGATGTCCCCAATCGTAATCACCATTTCGGGACAGACTCCCATCATTTTGCTTCTTGGGCCATAACCTCGCCCCTCTGTAGCCTGGCCCTGCCTTACAGAGGACGACCGTTTCCCTGGCAGTACCGTGCCATATGTCCGGGTTGTGAACAAGACAAACAAATTGGTCGACCGTCTGCCGTCCATTGGAGTGATGGCTTGGCAGGACGCGGCCGTCCAACCCGTCCCTGTTTTGTCCCGTTCTTTTCCTGATTCTCAGCTGTTGACCTGCTTTCCAACCACTTCAAGCGTTGGTCAACCTTCTCTAGGTGGGCCAACAGTTGAGCCATCATGGTCTCCATCGTGTCGGCCCCTGTGGGTGGGGATTGTCTCTGTTCAGGCACAGAGACTTTGTCCACCGAACAGTTCGATTGGTCCTCATCCTCGGACCTGCGGATCGCTGAGTTCCTGACCTGAAGGAAGGTCAACTGCTGGTCTCTGTGGACCTCCTCTTTCAACTCTCTCCTTAAGATCGGGGTTGCTAGCCCCTCGATGAAATGGTCCCTCAGTAGGCGTACATCAATGTCCGGTGATTTGCCCTTTACCAAATCAAAGGCCCTGTTCATCCTGTGTGAGTACTCCATCACACTCTCCGCCATTCTCTGCTTTAAGCCCACGAATCCCGATAGCAGTTGCACTCCCGACCGTCTCTCCCCAAAGGTCTCCATAATCAGATCCAGCACCTTATCTGGATCTGATTGGACGGTCCTATCGTGGCACTTAACCTCTGCCCTAACCGTTTCACCTATACTGCCCATCAGCAGTCTTAATCTTTCCTCTGGTGACATATGTCTCGAGGCCCAGGCCGCTTTGACCTCTTCACTGAACCTGTTGGTTAAAGTTGGGTCTCCGTCCCCGTAAAATTTGTTAATATGGGACTCTCTGGGTAGGACCACTATATGGGTCTGCTTCTCGTCCAGAGTAGACATTTTCTTCCTTAAGTACTAAAAAAAAAGAGTTCTTTCTTACCGTGTGTGTATGAAAAATTTTTCCTCGTTCCTCAATTTTCACAGTTCCTGAATGTCCGAATTCACACACACACTAAACACAGTTATGCACAAGGTTGACTATAGGTGCCTTAAACGGCAAGTCTAGTTGAATTCATCCTGATCGCAGCGCCAATTGTGACGAGCGAACATTTATCCTGCCGACAACGCCAATTGTAACGAGCCAACAGTTACCATGCTCGCAACGCCACATGTAATGAGACCTAATTGCCTGTAGTGCCACGTGTTAACGAGTTTAACCACTCATTCTAGACAACATTGACCACAGTATAGATACTCAAGATGCAGGTTCGCTATTGATCCTTTATTACATGAATCAAGAAATGCTTCATAATAACACAATAAATCAACAGGAATGCTTCTCAATAATAGTCTGAATCAACTGACCCCTAACAGTCCTTCACTAGGCTTTATATAACTGAATCCACATGTCTATAATCCTCCTTAACACAATACGGCTAACCCGTTCTATAACCGACTTGACATAGTCACACAGACTGACTGATCTAAGCGAGCGATGAAGATGGAAGAGAGCTCGCTGAAACGGGAAGAGAGAGAGCGAGTCCTGCCGTGCCCTCCTATTTATGCCTTGTATCCGTACTCGTCTCCGTACTTGTATTCCTCCGTAATCGATACTTGTACTCGATCTCCGACCACCAGTTGCGTAGTTCAAACGTACAGACCGTAAAATAACATCTGCGTCCTATCCATCAAAGTTGACAGGCCGTCTGAATACCGTTTCCCAAAATAGCACGCGTTGGCTTTGAGGTTGTTATCAGCCCGACCCAATAAGCCACCTGTTATCGGTTGCATCAGACCAACACTGTGTCTCGGCTTCTCGTTCGTTATCATTTGTAACTGGTAGTTAGGCCTACCCCAGTTACATATATATATATATATATATATATATATATATGGCTGTGAGTCCCCCATAACACCCCCCTTTCAAATGTGAGTTTATATCTGTGTATGGTCGCCTGTGCATAGGTGTATGTTACATCCTAGCCAATTCAATAATCTATGTCCTATGTCTTCTAAAGGGATCGTGTATTTTGTTACGTTTCAGAGCTAGATACGACTATAACAGTTTTTTGACAAGTTCCACAGCTAAATACGGCTATAACAGAATTTTGGTAAGTTCATGGCCAAATACGACTATAAGTGAATTTTGACAAGTTCCACACGACTATAAGTGAATTTTGACAAGTTCCACACGACTATAAGTGAATTTTGACAAGTTCCAAAGCTAGATACGGAGATAACAAAATGTTGACAAGTTTCACGTCTTGATACGACTATAACTGAACTTTGAAGAGTTCCACTGATATATACATCTATAAGAGAATTTCAAGTCTTGATACAGTTGTAACAGAATTTTGACAAGTTCCAGTGCTAGATATAACTATTACAGAATTTTGACAAGTTCCAGTGCTAGTTATAGCTATTACAGAATTTTGACAAGTTCCTGTGCTAGATACAGATATAACAAAATTTTGACAAGTTCCACAGCTAGATACGGAGATAAAATTTTGACAAGTTCCACGTTTTGATATAACTATAACTGAACTTTGAAGAGTTCCACAGATAGATACAACTATAACATACTTTTGACAAGTTTCAGTTCTAATTACAGCTATAACAGAATTTTGACAAGTTCCAGTGCTAGATATAGCTATTACAGAATTTTCACAAGTTCCAAAGCTAGATACGGAGATAATAAAATGACAAGTTCTACGTCTTGATACGACTATAACTGATTTTTGACGAGTTCCAGGGCTAGATACTGCTCTAACCGAATGACGTGTTTGATCGTTCCTTTGCTACCAGAAGACAATGCTTTTATTGATTTTGTCATTGCTGAAAACATGCCCCAGCTCATCCTTTAAGCTCATGTTTCAACATCCCCACATCATACAACATCCTGACATCATGATGTGAAGGTGGAAACTGACACCGCATGTTTCATTAGATTCTAAAAGCTCTACGGGAGGGGGGTGAAGGGGGGGGGGGGGACTTGGAACATTATGTAAACATTGCCATGCTACTTGAAATATTTTTTTAGAAATGTTCTTTGCATTTATCGAGGCCCTTGAAAGTATGTACGTAACACGTGACGTAGGTATAAACATGTGTAGATATCATCAATCAATCGAAAACATGCTTTTAAAGAACAGCTAATAAAACAGCTTTCCATAGTATTGCACACGCATAAATATATTTTACTAATAGAAAGTGTATTATTTAAATGTAATTGTTTATAAAAATTATGAATTTCTGTGTTCATTAACATTAATTATTATTAGCACACAATGTACTTTTATTCACATGTTATCTTTCATATATATCTTTCATTATATATATATATATATATATATATATATATATATATATATATATATATATATATATATATATATATATATATATATATATATATATATATATATATATATATATATACACATGTAAATGATAAACATTGTTCACAAGACATAATACACAAATTAAATTTCTATTTAGAACTTAGATCTAGATGTATACGAAATCGAAAATGAATTAGGAACTAAACACTATCACTCAACAAAATACTCTCTACCACAAAACGACTATGTTTACGTGTTCTATATTTAGCCAGGCAGCGTTGCCCCAACTTCCGGTTGCGCGCGACGCTGCTAGCAAGCGGGGTAGACACGGCGCGGCCACCGTGACAAACATACAGAAGGGGGAGCGACTCTGGCGTTTAAAAGCCTGTGGGTGAGCAGTTTTTTTGTGAGGGACCGATGCACGTGCCGCGCTTACAGCGGCCAGATATTCGTTTTGTTTGTACTCAAGTAAGTTTGTTTCTTTGTTTTTTTCTACATGCCGACTTTTTATAAAATTCTTTTACTCAAGGGGTAAAGGTCTTTACTTACATTTATTTCTAATTTCTAACTTTCAAAGGAAACATACCCGTGAGCATATTCTGTTTTGATATACTTGTGGGGTTTTTTTCCTTTATAAAGTAAACTTTGAAAATGAACGTTGAAATTGTACGCGCCTCTGGGTTTATTTTGTTTTCAAGTGAACTCGTTATGTTATTCTTGGCCAGAAAGCTAAGTTACATAATCACAGGTAGTAATGATTATTTAGAATTGAGGATCGTTTATAAATGACGACACGCTATTTGTTAATTTTTTTATTTACTTTTTACTTTCTTGTATAGCCAACAGAATATAGACGCAAGTTTGTAATCGTGCTGAATAATTAACAGATATTTTGACAGTTTTTGTCGTGGTTTTTTTTTTTCAGTTTTTTGTTTTGTTTTTTAACGTTTTGCCTATGCCACAGTTGTTTCTGTGACCTCGGCATATGAAGGGATAGTGTGTTCATCACTATGCCCAGACGCCTTTACTTTCCCTAACGTGAGTTAGGTACCCATCAGAGCTGGGTGGACTCGGGTACGGTCTACTCGACTTCACTTGCCCCGTCGACCGTCAGGTTTGAAAGTGAAACTTACTTAACAAAACGTCAGACTCACACCTCATCAACGTAACACCTTTCTCACACGTGTACTTCTTTTTACTTTTGAAACATTGATTGTTTCTACCTCAAATATTAATTTAACTGCTCCTGCGTGAAGTATAGTGATCTGGTTTTTAAAAAAAGTTCAATCCGCCTTTAAAGCTTCTTTTTAATATGAATATTTATAAACTTATTAGGATATTTATCCGTAAAATGAAACTGTATGGCAAGTACACTCATTAAAAGGTATAGTAGTTAGACCAATGCCTACTGTGTCAGTGATCGACAACATCACCATACATCAAAGAACAACGCATTTCATCATGCACAGTAGATTTAGCAAATACTAACCCACAGAATATGCTCAAAGTCTAAGGCAATGAATAACTCGGTTTAGAGTTGGAATTATACTTTTATATAGTATGTCTACCTTTTGAGTATGTCGCCTAAGTTTTTAACTTATGCATACGTTAAAAAAATAAAGATTAAAGAAAATACTTAATCGATGGAACTTTTAATAATAATTTTAAAAATTCAAAATATATTATTAGTGTTTTTTTATCATAAGATAGTTTTCGATTAAAGTTAATAACAATCGATAGAAAACCAGAATTTAATTTGAACTTTTGACGAAAAGTGAAGTAGATAGATGGGAACTAATTCAGATATTGACTTTATTTAAGCTAATATCTATTTACTCTTTATTTTTGCTTATAGTTGCTGCTATATGCTGCCGCTTTTGTTATTAGGTTTAGGGCCTCAGGTTAAATTTAATTAGCGGTTAAAAATTTTAAATCTAGTGTTACAAGCGTAGTCAATGGTCGCCGGCAAAGTCAAGTGCTCTGGCGTAGTCTAGTGCTATTGGCGTAGTCTAGTGCTATTGGCGTAGTCTAGTACTATTGGCGTAGTCTAGTACTATTGGCGTAGTCTAGTGCTATTGGCGTAGTCTAGTACTATTGGCGTAGTCTAGTGCTATTGGCGTAGTCTAGTGCTACTAATTTAAACTCCAACAACGCTTTCGTATTCATCACATCGTTACAACACCCACTATCCTCCCAAACGTTCATAAACATGCCCCCCCCCCCCCCCTCAACAATTTATTCAGCGAAGTTTTAAATACTGTTTCATTAATGGTCGATAGCTATCACAGTGTCGGTTTCGGTTCTTTGAACTCAGAACGTCTCTGTTTGTTAATAACATCATATCACACAATATAGACTGATACTTACTGGTAAAAAATGGTAAATGAGTTTTAAATTATTATAAATAAGGTTAAAAACCCTAGTTAATTTAGACTCTTTTAATAATATAACGCTCAGTAAAATATATTAAATAAATTGTGTTTTAAAATAAAGTTAGCGTATTATAGAAAAATAGATGGACAAACAATTTAGAGAAAATTTTGAAATATCTACTGTATCAGTAATAATACGTATCAAAGTAAATCAAAATCTGTAGCTAAGCATCATGTACAGTAGACATTGTAAAAACTCATGGATTTGTGTTCAACTAGTAAGAATGAAATGAGTCTAAATAGTTATTAGAATAGCAAATGGAGCAGCCAAGAAAGTTACCAAGGAACCGAACTCAACCCTTCTCGCTTGGAAATCGTGTGTTCTGCCACTCGACCACTCCATCCCTTAACTTTTATGGTAATAAAACGAAGGGAAATCTATTTCCAATATAAAAAAAAACTGGCGTAATTTTAATTACTGTAATACTTGTTATTAAAACACAAGACGTTTCGAACCGTTTTTAATTTTTTTAAAATCATTCAGACTTTACCCATGTGCCTTTACTATAGACACAAATAAAGCAGGGAAAGTGTTTGACTGATTTCAAAAGTATTTAAACTATTGTTTATAACTTAGTTTAGGTTATATATGTTGCTTGAGCGATGTTCACAACTCTTTAGGAAAGTCCCGTTTTATTTATTACGTTAAGGACCACATGTTCAGTTAAATTAGCGGTTAAAAAGTTTTAGTCTATGTGTACTTGTGTAGTCAATGGTTACCGGTGTAGTCTAGTACTACTGACGTAGTCTAGTTCTACTGGCGTAGTCACTGGCTACTGATGTAGTCTAGTGCTACTGATGTAGTCTAGTGCTACTGACGTAGTCTAGTGCTACTGGTGTAGTCTAGTGCTACTACCGTAGTCTAGTTCTACTGATGTAGTCTAGTGCTACTGGCGTAGTCTAGTGCTACTGGTAGTCTAGTACTACTGACGTAGTTTAGTGCTACTGATGTAGTCTAGTGCTACTGGCGTAGCCTAATACTATTGGCGTAGTCTAGTGCTACTCGCGTAGTCTAGTGCTACCGGCGTAGTTTCGTGCTACTGACGTAGTCTAGTGCTACTGATGTAGTATAGTGCTACTCGCGTAGTCTAGTGCTACTGATGTAGTCTAGTGCTACTGACGTAGTCTAGTGCTACTGGTGTAGTCTAGTGCTACTACCGTAGTCTAGTGCTACTGATGTAGTCTAGTGCTACTCGCGTAGTCTAGTGCTACTGGCGTAGTCTAGTGCTACCGGCGTAGTTTCGTGCTACTGGTGTAGTCTAGTGCTACTGGCGTAGTCTAGTGCTACCGGCGTAGTTTCGTGCTACTGGCGTAGTCTAGCCCACTGGCGTCCTCTGGTGCTACTAATTTAAATTCCAACCACGCTTCCGTATTCATTACATCGTTACAACACCCACTATATTCTCACACGTTCATAAATATGCCCCCCCCCTCAACAATGTATTCAGCGAGGTTTTAAATACTGTTTCATTAATGGTCGATTGCTATCACAGTGTCGGTTTCGGTTCTTTGAACTCAGAACGTCTCTGTTTGTTAATAACATCATATCACAGAATATAGACTGATACTTACTGGTAAAAAAATGTTAAAATGAGTTTTAAATTATTATAAATAATGTTAAAAACGTAGTTAATTTAGACTCTTTTGATAAAATAACGCTGAGTAAAATATATTAAATAAATTGTGTTTTAAAATAAAGTTAGCTCATTATGGAAAAATAGATGTTCAAACAATTTAGAGAAAAGTTGGAGGTATCTACTGTATCAGTAATAATACGTATCAAAGTAAATCAAAATCTGTAGCTAAGCATCATGTACAGTAGACATTGTAAAAACTCATGGATTTGTGTTAAACTAGAAAGAATGAAATGAGTCTAAATAGTTATCAGAACAGCAAATGGAGCAGCCATTACAGAAAGTTGCCAAGGAACCGAACTCAACCCTTCTCGCTTGGAAATCGCGTGTTCTGCCACTCGACCACTCCATCCCTCAACTTTTATGGTAATATAACGAAGGGAAATCTATTTCCAATATAAAAAAAAAACTGGCGTAATTTTAATTACTGTAATACTTGTTATTAAAACACAAGACGTTTCGAACCGTTCTTAATTTTTTTTTTTAAAAATCATTCAGACTTTACCCATGTGCCTTAACTATAGACACAAATAAAGCAGGGAAAGTGTTTGACTGATTTCAAAAGTATTTAAACTACTGTTTATAACTTAGTTTAGGATATATATGCTGCTTAAGCGATGTTCACCACTCTTTAGGAAAGTCCCGGTTTATTTATTAGGTTAAGGACCACATGTTCAATTAAATTAGCGGTTAAAAAGTTTTATTCTAGTCCAACTAGTGTAGTCAATGGTTACCGGTGTAGTGTAGTGCTACTGATGTAGTCTAGTGCTACTGGCGTAGTCTAGTGCTACTGGCGTAGTCTAGTGCTACTGGCGAAGTATAGTCCTACTAATTTAAGCACCAACGACAGATGGAGCGCCAAGCTTCCATATTCTTTACGTCATTACAACGCCCAACATCTTCCCACCATTCATAAATATGCCCTCTTAAAAATTAGTTTAGCAATGTTTTAAAATAATGGTCGATAGCCAGCACAATACCGGGTTCGGTTCTTTGAACTCAGAACGTCTTTGATTGTTAATAACATCATATCGAACCATATATTATACTGATACTTATTGATATTTCATAAATTTTCAAAATCTTAAAATGAGTTTTATTATAACAAGTTAAAAAACGTAGTTAATTTAGACCCGTTCAAGAATACAACGCTGAATAAAATGTGTTGGATAAATTGTGCTTCTAAAATAAAGTTAGCGCCTTATGGGAAAATAGATGGTCAATCAATGTAGACGAAAGTTAGAAGAATCTACTATATCAGCAACAGCAATCATCAAAGTAAATCAAAGCACCGAGCGAAACATCATGTACAGTAGACATTGTAAAAACTCATAGATTTGTGTGAGACCAGAAAGAATGAAATGAGTCTGAATAGTTGACGGAATACCAAATGGAACAGGAA